TGCCATTCCCTAAGGACTTTAAGGACTTAGCAGCAGATAATGGTGGCTAGGGGTGAGGGGCTCATGAGGTCCCATTTCTCCCCAATAATGTCAATAATGGTCAATGGGAGAGAAACATTGTCTTCAGTAATGTAACCATTGGGGGGGGGGTGGATCAGAGGTCCATGAAATTAGAAAGGAGACTAGTTAGAAGAGGAATCAAACCAGTAGGTGGGGGGTAGAGAGAGGGTAATGTGAATGGATGTGATTTTAAAAATACATTATGTACTATATAAAATTACAATGAAATCCATTATTGTATATAACCAATACATTTGAATAAAAACACAAAATATAATTTCAGTAAATTAATGCAAAAAAGGAAAAGCTGATAACAGACTACAGATGTCAAAGAGAAGAAAAGGTATTTATTTAAAATCAGGAAGTAGTGGGTCCCCCTATAATGAGATTGATGACTACCTTATATGCCATATTAGAGCCTTCGTCCAGTAGCTGATGGAAACAGAAGCAGACACCCACAACTAAGCACTGAGCTAAACTCTTGGACTCCAATTGTAGAGAAGGAGGAGTGATGAGCAAAGGGGTCAAGACCAAGCTGGAGAAACCCACAGAAACAGCTGACCTGAGCAAGTGGGAGCTCATGAACTCCAATCTAACAGCTGGGGAACCAGCATAAGACCAAACCAGGGCCCCTGAGTGTGGGTGTCAGTTGGGGAGCCTGGGAAGTCTATGGGGCCTCTGACAGTGGATCAGTATTTATCCCTAGTGCACGAATTGGCTTTGAGGGCCTATGGAAGGATACTCTCTCAGCCTAGACACATGGGGGAGGGCCTAGGCCCTGCCCCAAAAGATGTGACAGACTGTGAAGATCCCTGATGGGAGGCCTCACCTTCCCTGGGGAGTGGATAGGGGGTGAGATGAGGGCTTGGTGGGGAGCATAGGAGGATGGCAGGGAGAGAAAACTGGGATTGGTGTTAAAATAAGATTTTTTTTTTTACATTTAAATGAAAAATTATTTAAAAAGAAAAGAAAGTAGTTAGAAGGGAAGGCATTTTGTACTTGTCATATGAAGGTCTAATGTGGTGGAGCAATCCATGTGAAAAATCTAGAAAAAGAGCACTGGAGGCCTAGGGGACACAAGCATGAAGATAAGATAGAAACTAGCTTGATGCGATTGATACGGTGATTGATACAGTGGGCCTAAAGTTCGTAAGGCATGATACTTAGTATCTGGGTAAGTGTTCTTTCTTCATTCTCTTGTCTATGAATGTGGATTAGAATATTTCCTAATCCTTTTCCATTCTCAGATACTTCAGAGCTACTCCCAGATGTTGCTTCCCATCTGGTGAGCAAATGGGGACTTGTTTCTAATCCCGCTGTGGTCAGTTAGAAGCCAAGGCTATGCATAGAGCAAAATAGAAAAGCCAAAGGCCAAGATTCACTTGCTACTTGCAAACCTGATGGCTTTACTTAGATCTGAATATTGAAGACTGCAAGACCAAGCAATCCTGAACAGGCTCCGAGAGGCTGTTTGCTTTGCCACAGTTCTACATTTAAACATTATAGTAATATTATTATTATCCCACAGGGGTGTCATGAGGATTAATGAGACATTATCAAATCACTTTGAGCTACTCCCCTGGGGGTACTTAATAAATGGTATGTGTTCCCCCTGAAGTGCCACTTTTGACGTTGATTTGTTGCAATAGGTTCTGCTGTCCAACAGGGCTCAAACGCACCCACCAACTCATTTCCCATAGGCGGCCGAGTAGCCACCAAAAGGCAGTGGTTTTCAGTTAAAATAAATATGAATTTGAAAGCAAACAGTCAGCAATCAGAAGCAAATAGGCAGCTCTTAGAAATCCAGTATTTATTAAGTGCTCACAGTGATCAGCATGCGAGTTTCCCAGTGTGCTATAATACTGCAAACACTGGATTTGGAAATATTCCAAGATTTTAGGACCAGCTCTGTCACTAACTATTTACACAAGCTGAGCAAACTGCTAAATTTCTCGGGGTCTCAAATACAGAATAAGGGCTGTCTGAACAAGTCCACCATCAGAGTCCTCCAGACAAGGCAAACCTATGCAAGGAATGGAAATAGTCATTTCTGAAAGCAAGACACTTCACAGCACAAAGAAACTTGGGACCATCCATCACAGGACCATCCTCTGCTCTGGTCTCTTTTGCCATTGATTAATATTAATTTCAGTATTAATTCCTGCAAAAGGAAGAATAAATCACCTTCTAAGTCAGACACAGTACATGAAACATTCGGCCTTTAAAAATAGTTCTTTACCTTTCAGTGAGCTATCCTTGTAGCATGCAGTCTTTCTCATTCTTAGACTTATATATATGAATATCTTCTCAACTGCTCTACTAATCACCGGCTAACACCATGTATATAAAATAATGAGGTGACCCAAAGACAGCTGACCTGAACAAGGAGGAGCTAACGGGCCCCCCAGACTGATAGCTGGGAAACCAGCATGAGACTGACTCAGGCCCCCCTGAATATGGGTCTCAGTTAGAAGGCCTGGGCAGTCTAAGAGACCTCTGACAGTGGAACCAGGATGTATCCCTGGTGCACAAAAGGACTTTGGGAACACATTTCCCATGTAGGGACACTCCCTTAGCCTAGAGGCAGGAGGGAGAGCCTAGTCCCTACTCCAAATGATTTGACAGATTTTGTTGACCCCTCCTGAAAGGCACCACCCTCCCTGTGGACTGGGGGGTGGGTGGGATGAGAGGGTGGTAGGGATGGGAGGGAGGGAGGAAAAGAGGGACGGAGGGAGAAGGGGAGGGAAATGGAATCAATATGTAAAATAAGAAAAAATAAATTAATTAAAAAAATAAAACAACTAAAAGAAAATAATGAGGTGACCATCACACAACATATTGCTCTGAAGTTGTGTGTTTAAAAGGGACTTATAGGGTTGCCCAGTTTTCATCTGACAATATACTTAACTCTGCAGTGTCCAGCACTAGGCTGGATGTAAAGTTGAAGATAAAGAATGATAAAGAATCTGGCACTTGTTATACCCTGGCAAGTGCTGGCTATAGAAACCTGTAGAGTGACTGTACTGCCAGCTCAGTTTCTCCTCACATCTCTGTAACACGAGTAAATAAATGATCCAGAGACTGATAAAGGGGTCCAAGCTGAAGACTGGAGAAGCCAGACAGCAGGCCACTAGCTCTCACCTCTAACTCAGGCTGAAAGGGCTGACCCACGTATTAACTCATCACCAAATCTCAAATGGCTCCCTCTCCTCAGTGTGGTTGGAGAATAAATGCTTCTCTGAGATCTTGCTTCTGTTCTTATATACTTCCCTAATGTTAGTATTAAAGGTGTGAGCTATAATTCTCTTTTAGACTGATTTACTGCTGTATAGATCTGGACAGAGATCCATCTATCTCTTAATCCTGAGTCCTAGGATTAAAGGTATGTACCACCACCTCCTAGCTTCTGGCTGCTGGGATTAAAGGGTGTGCCTGGCTTCTATGGCTTGTGGCTGACTTTGCCTTCTGAATCCTCAGGCAAGCTTTAATAAATCATAAACAATGTATCATCACACTCATCATCCCAGGTATCATAGTATGATACTGAACTCAACAACAACAACAAAAAAATGTCTGCCTGAAGCAGATAGAAATAAATACAAAGCACCAACATCAATTGTTTGGGAATTCCACACAACTTAACTGTTGAGTTCCCATGATTCCCAATATTCCTTGAAGGATGCTAAGAACAGAAGTTGGGCAAGCCTGTCCTATCATAGAGTTTGGTAGCTGGGAGAGGTGGTACCAAAGAATGGTGACAAATCACTCTTACATCAAATTGAATCATCAGCTCACTTCCAGGAATGAGTAGATGTCTAGATGTCAATTCCTCTTTTGCAAATGATTGCAATGATTCAAAACAGAATTTTGTAACTCCAGTGCTTATACTTAGGGGAGCTAAAATGTCTGGGAGCAGAAATTAGGCTTAAAGCAATCACAACAATTTGGAGAAACAGTTTGGGGGGTGTAAATGTTTTCTCTAGGCCCAAATCAAGCAAGAGGGGCACAAGTGACAAAATGAAGGCTTTCCCACATTAGCAGCTAAAACACGCTCCCCACCACAAGGGCAGGTGGCACTGTATTAAATAAAATCTAGGTTTCAGCCTGCTCATGTCTGTCCCACAGCAGACAAATAACTGAGTTATCTAACCACACAGATGAGATGTGATGGATTTTCTTTAACATTCGCACCTCTTATTTTCCTACTGAAAGTAAATCAGACTTTAAAAAGCAGGCTGCCCTCACTAATCCCAACCAGAAACTTAGTCCTTATTCTGTCCAGGGTGAACTAGCCTTTACAAAAGTGAAGTCTCCGAACGCCTTTAAGGACCCTTTCTTTAGACCCCTGTGAAGACTTCAAACCCTATGTATTCATTAATTCAGTTGGGCTTCCTATCCAAACACAATCCTTTACAGCACCTACACGCCAGGTTTTAGCAATCTTCTACCCTTCAAAATCGGGATGATGGCCCCAGACTCACCTCTTGCCCATGCTAACCACTTAGTCTTCACCCCCTCCTCCCACGACATTCTGGGTCAGGAGGCCTGGCACCTCCTGGCCCTCCTTCCTCCTTTGGGACTTCTGCTACCTTCTCCCCTGGAACTTCCTTCCTCCTGCCCAGGCAAAGTGTGAAGGGCTAGGAGGCCTGAATCTGAGGGCCGGGTTGTGGTCCTTAAATAGATCTAACAGACCTGAGATTGGGACTCTGTCACGCGCGGGAAGGGAATGCACGCTGTCCAAAAGGAAGTGGAGCCCAGGAATGAGGCCAGGCGGCTGGGTTCCTCCAGAGCCGGTCTGGCTGGGTAGAGGTTCGGGAGGGTCTGGGGAAGAGGTTGCAAATTGGAAGAGATCCAGTGACAAAGAACCGCAAGGAGCGCGGCCGGGAAGCGGGAAGCGGGGAGCGCGCGCGGTGGGCGGGAAACCCGGGGGCGGCGGCGAGGCGGGCGCGCGCCCCACGGGGAGGGGTGCGGAGGAGGGAGGAGGCGTCTGGACCGTGCAGCCCCGCGCGCCGCGCCAGCCCCAGACAGAGCATCGCCGCAGCTGCAGCAACAGGCGGCGGGCCGGGCTCGCGGGGCGGAGGCGGCGGTGGGGCGGGGAGCTCGAGGAGGAGCGACTCGGGGCCGGCCACCTCCTGCAAGGAAGAAGAGCACCGCCGCCTCCCGCGCTCGGCCGCTGCAGCCCTCCATCCGCTACCGCGCCCACCCTGCGCAGGACCCCGCGAGCGGCGGCGCGCGCACCCTGCAGAGCCCCGGCCGCGCAGAGCTGCCGCCAGACATGACCGTGGTGCCCGGGGACCACCTGCTGGAGCCAGAGGCGGCGGGCGGCGGCGGTGGGGACCCGCCTCAGGGAGGCTGTGGTGGTGGTGGTGGCGGCGGCGGCGGCTGCGACCGCTACGAGCCGCTGCCGCCCGCATTGCCCGCCGCGGGTGAGCAGGACTGCTGCGGGGAGCGCGTGGTCATCAACATCTCCGGGCTGCGCTTTGAGACGCAGCTCAAGACCCTCTGCCAGTTCCCCGAGACGCTGCTGGGCGACCCCAAGCGGCGCATGCGGTACTTCGACCCACTCCGCAATGAGTACTTCTTCGACCGCAACCGACCCAGCTTCGACGCCATCCTCTACTACTACCAGTCCGGGGGCCGCATCCGCCGGCCGGTCAACGTGCCCATCGACATCTTCTCCGAGGAGATCCGCTTCTACCAGCTGGGCGAGGAAGCCATGGAGAAGTTCCGTGAGGACGAGGGCTTCCTGCGGGAGGAGGAGCGGCCCCTGCCCCGCCGAGACTTCCAGCGCCAGGTGTGGCTGCTCTTCGAATACCCGGAGAGCTCGGGGCCGGCCCGGGGCATTGCCATCGTGTCGGTGCTGGTCATCCTCATCTCCATTGTCATCTTCTGCCTGGAGACCCTGCCCGAGTTTCGCGACGAGAAAGACTACCCCGCCTCCCCGTCGCAGGAAGTGTTCGAGGCCACCAACAACAGCACGTCGGGGGCCGCCTCTGGAGCCTCCAGCTTCTCGGACCCCTTCTTCGTGGTGGAAACCCTGTGTATCATCTGGTTCTCCTTTGAGCTGCTAGTGCGGTTCTTCGCTTGCCCCAGTAAAGCCACCTTCTCCAGAAATATCATGAACCTCATAGACATTGTGGCCATCATCCCTTATTTCATCACTCTGGGCACTGAGCTGGCTGAGCGACAGGGTAATGGGCAGCAGGCCATGTCTCTGGCCATCCTGAGGGTCATCCGCTTAGTAAGGGTCTTCCGCATCTTCAAGCTCTCCCGCCACTCTAAGGGGCTGCAGATCCTGGGGCAGACACTGAAGGCCTCCATGCGAGAGCTGGGGCTGCTCATCTTCTTCCTCTTTATAGGGGTCATCCTTTTCTCCAGTGCCGTCTACTTTGCTGAGGCAGACGACCCTTCTTCGGGTTTTAACAGTATCCCGGATGCCTTCTGGTGGGCAGTGGTAACCATGACAACTGTGGGTTACGGTGATATGCACCCAGTGACCATAGGAGGCAAGATTGTGGGCTCTCTTTGTGCCATCGCAGGTGTCTTGACCATTGCGCTGCCAGTTCCTGTAATTGTTTCCAACTTCAATTACTTCTACCACCGGGAGACAGAAGGGGAAGAGCAAGCCCAGTACATGCATGTGGGAAGTTGCCAGCACCTCTCCCCTTCAGCTGAGGAGCTCCGGAAAGCCCGGAGTAACTCCACCCTGAGTAAGTCGGAGTATATGGTAATCGAAGAGGGGGGTATGAACCACAGTGCTTTCCCCCAGACCCCTTTCAAAACGGGCAACTCCACTGCCACTTGCACCACGAACAATAATCCCAACTCCTGTGTCAACATTAAAAAGATATTCACTGATGTCTAATATATGATGCAAATGACATACTATGCCCAGTATTATGTGGAACGTGCCCCCTTGGTCTGTGTATGCCCTTGATTTATACATTTCCAGACCATTCATCAAGGAACGGACATGAAGAAGTGGAAAAGCACACTTCATTCTCCCTCTCCCTATTGCTTCATACTGAAACAGGTGCCTGTTCTGCAAGTGGGCTGCATTCTCTCAGCTCCTTTCCTTTTCTCTCTCTCTTTCCCTGTCTTTTAATTTTGTGACCAACAAGCTTACATTAAAGCTTGGTTTCTAGTGCACGCCCTATGAAAAACTACATCCTGGGAGGAAATGAAACTAAGAGTCAGAGTAACTGTTTAACCTCAAAATCAAAAGGATAGTTGTTTCTTTACTAAGTAAAGGAGGCAAAACTTAAATGATGCTCCTGTTTGGTGAACCTTTCATTGTTTTTTTACTATTTAGTTTAATTACCCAGCCTTTGGATATGTGGACAGAAAGTCTAACTAAAGCAATGACGTATAAACCCACCATAAATTTATTTTTGACTGGTCTTTCAGTTTGAATCTCTCCTCTAAGAATTTGAGGTTCGCAATAACTTTGAACCAAAAGGGAAATGGCCCAAATGTCCTGATCTGACTATTAACTCTTTGGTGTTTGCAAAGAATTTTGAAAGTATTGTGCACGAATTCCAGTGAAGTTGTGAGTATGTGCCCCAGCCAACATCTATGAAAGTCTAGAAACTCGTTTTCAGTGCTGCCAAGAAAAACGACAAATATTCCTAATGCATGTGAGAGATAAGCTTATGTGGTATCACAAGAAGATTAAAGTGGCAGACACCCCTTCCAGCGGAAGTTACTAATTCGGACCTGACTGATGCAGTTCCCATAGCAACCCATGTTTCCTGGGAAACCCGAAAAAAGGTTGTCATGGCATCTTTTGCTCTTTAGCCCCACCCCCCTCAGGCCTTGCTGTTTCCACAGTAACCTTTCCAGATGGTTCCTACTTATATGATTTCATAAGAAAACACACACACACACACACACACACACTATTTCAATAAACACAAATTAAGTGTAAGACGACAAAGAGGTGAGGCTAACCACAAAAGGCATTATTTTACATTTTATATAAATCATTGATGTTATCCCATAATGACTGAATCAAAAAGGGAAATGTCATCTTTTACATGTTACACGTAAGCCACAATAAGGTGGGATCTGAATCAAATGTCAGTTATTTGGTAACAGTTTTTAAAGATGCTTCTGTGCAGTTCTTTCACCAAGAAATGACAAGCCAACGAGTGAAATGAAGACAGCAATATCAACATTTCTGTACATAAGCAAGTGAAAGCCAGTATACCCGAAGTCTTACTACAAGATACCTTCAGGTTTCCTCATTTAAAAAAAAAAGAAAGAAAAGAAAAAGGCAAAGAAAAATATCCAGACCCCACAACAGGACTGTCTCCATCACAGCACTTGAAAAGCAAAATTAACCTCAAACATATGAGGGATGCAGATTTTAATGAGCGGATTATAATCAATGGAAAGGAGGACCAGGAAATAACCAGACCTTGAAAGAACACCTGCATATTTCAGCCACATGCTGAGGGGTGCCAGCAGACAGACATAATCAGGTGAGCACTGAGCTGTGTGTTTCTAAGAGTGGTTCTTTTTGCTGGGTAATGTCATTCATAGCTAGGATTATATTTGCAAAATAGACAGTTTTATTTTACATGCCAATTGCCTTTGAAAAGATCACTATGAAATATTTCTCATTTTCCCCGTGTTTCTGGTTATCTTTTGGTTTCTGTTGTTTATTATAAGAGGATAGGGAAAATTCTCCTCTAAACAGCTTTCACCCAAGCTGAACTGAATATTATCCCATTACTTTGACCAACCCACTTGGCTTCTGAGCAATTTGTCTCCCTTTTAAAATAATAAAAGGCAGCCCCTACAACTGCTAGGTTGGTAGTCCAGTTTTAATTTACACAATTACTTAGTATTGGTAAGATAGTTCTTGAAGCAAATGCTTGAAATAAGATTAGCATTTTACTTCAACAAAGTCATTTTGCTTTATGTGTGTTGGATGAATTATACAAAACTGCTATGGGGTGTTGGTGGCACATAAGTCATCTGTCCCTCTAGAGTACATGACAGTAACCTCATTTTTAAAGCTCATAAATCATTTCAGATAATCTCTCATAAGCCTACCTAACATATTTGCGCATTTGAGAGAGTGGGAAATAATTAATGGAAACTATAACAGGAAAGATAGAAGAAATGTACAAAAAAAGATAGAGGCAATAATTCTGTGTCTACCTAGCTGTCATTTGTTCTTTGTGCCTGATCAGGATTTTTACCTACTTTCCTTTGCTTGTGTGACTTCCTTTGGGCTTTGATCCACATGTTGATATAATAGTTGGTATTCTTGGTAGAGAGGCGTTCCTTTCATAACCCATTTTGATAATGTTAGACACATTAGAGCAATCACAAAAAGAGTAACATAAAGGTAACACTTTTGTTCCTATTTAGAAATCTAGACACCTTGATTAATCCCATAAACAAATTATGTTAGCACATATTTTTTTATGCTTGAGACCTTTTGCTTCCTCAACCAGAGAAATAGCACAGATTTTGAGTCATAGCTCTCAGGTGATGTAATTGCTTCCAGTCGCCATATTGGAAACTCCTTACAGGTTGTAGGTTCTGTATTTTGATTTGGAGATGTTAATGTTTTGGGTACTGGTGCCTGGCACAGAAAGTAGAGCCTTGTGTTTGTCAGGAGAATGCTGTCAGCTTACACTAGTATTCCCGGCTCTTATTGAAGTGGTTGAAAGAAGCTGTCATATAGCAGGGTCTGTCTCCTGTTTCTTCTGAATGACCTTGAGAACATTACATAACTTCTCTGTTTCTTAGTTTTTTCCTGTAATATAAAAGTAATAAATAGTACTTCATACATGTTGTATTAAATAATTTCATGACATACATCAAATTAAGAGATTGCATTATTTTGTGATTACCATTTATGGACATTTATAATATATACAAAGTTTTGTGACTAAGAAACCCATAATTTCCTTTGTGTAATAACACAATTAACATTTATTAAGGATCAACATTGCCCTGGACCCTTGTCAGGTCTATAAGATAAGTGCCATTAACTTCATTTTAAGGAGGATGAAAACTAGATGGCCAGTGCTGAAGTGATTTCTTGTGACTTCAAGCTAGCAAGACACCCAGCCACAATTAAAATCAAGGCATTATGACTCTAAAACCATTCCAGTTTTATTGGGTGTCTTGAAAGATAAAATAAATCTCTTAGGCTTTTAAGCTTGGCTTCAGTCCATGTTACTAATTAATGTATAGAAACCTATTCTCTTCAGCACACTGAAAATTAACCCTTTCTTAACAATAACATGTGTATATCCAGGAGAATCAAACCTAAGTTATTTAAGTCAGAGATTGACTTTCCTTGTAACATAATTGTATCAATTTAACCTTAGAAACTATTATCAGTAATGTTATGGATACCCATCAGGACATTTCTCAATTTTTATATTTATTTCCTGGTTGCATGTGTTTTAATTGATAATGTGGTAAATAGCATTATGTAAATTATTGTGCTTTTCATATCCTGTACTTTGCCTAGGTTTCTGAGGAACCATGCCAGAAATTAGTGTAAATATTTCAACTCTTGCAGGAAAGTAAGAATTGATTACAACAAGGTAGAAAACAGGAGGTTCTCGGGTCACCGAAACTTACGGCATTAATGGCTCACCTAGCCACTCCATAAGTTGGTAAAAGACTGCTTGAAAAACATCAGGACATATTTGTGTCATGTGTACTGGATGTAGCCCCTTCACCAAGGTTCTAAATCTTTTATAACATAAGGTAGATAGTGATTTGAGAGTTAGAGTAACATGCTAATGAATGTACATTTGTCTGTGCCAGTTGACTTGGCCAGCTACAGGCTTCACTGTGGAACTTAGCTGAACATTTTAAGTGTTGAAAAGAGATTCTTGGGAGTTATGTGGCCAAATCAGTCCAACTCAACACCACTGTGCCCCACAGCCAGTGATCCAGAGCAAACCGTGGAAGCTAACATTTGTTACTTCTTTTTCCTTGTGTAGTATTTTAAACTCATATTGTGCCTAATTAAAACATCAACTATGACAGCAAAATAAGACACCTTCATGGAAAAGAAAGTGTTGTTTCTAAGCATCTATGCAGAATATCAGGAATGATCAACTTTTACATGCACAGTATAAAAGAAATTTAAAGTTGTGGTTTATATAAAACTTAGTTACATGTTTGTCATTTAATACACCTAAGCAACAGCTTTGTACACAGCATATAGCTACAGCATATATGGCATGCACCAGTAGTTTGCTTCTTTGAGAACCATAGCTATATTTTCTACACATTGAAATATTCAACATTGTCTACAGAAGTTTCAAGCCCTTTCCACCTCTCAGCTATGAATAGAAGTAATAACCCCTCCCTCCAAGAAATACAAAGAAGCATGCCCCTTCCAATCTGAAGAGTTACAGAAACATTGTGAGGGAGAGGTGAGAAGTTCTAGACCTGGGAGAAGCAATTTAGGTGGGGATTGCATCTTAGGGTGTTTTTTTTTTTCTGTTTTGTAATGGGCTCTTTCAACAAAGGAAGATAGAATTACTGGTTTGTAGGGTTTCTTATGTTGTGCTAAGATGCATGTGTGTGTGTGTGTGTGTGTGTGTGTGTGTGTGTGTGTGTGTGTTTTATACACCTTTTGTGAGAGTATTTATCTTTAAGGAATGATAAATCAGGGGGGAATTAAAAGAAAAATAGAAGGCTATACAAAGCCCAAACCTTAACTTACAAATTTGAACTTCCTGTCAGAAAATGATGAGTGTTCTGTAATGTTTGATAGTAGTATTATTCATCATATGCCATTTCTCCACTTGCAAATGTTGTCCAATGATTCCACTTGATAGGTTTACAACTGTTTGTCTTGGATTTTAGTGGTGATGTGGTCTAATTTTCTCTTTTAAATTGCAAAGAAAATGTATTTACTAAAGAGTATTTTCATGTTCCCCCTCCCTTCCTCTTTTTACCCCTCCATCAGATTCATTTTCCTTGCACTTCAAAATGTGCACCATCATGTGCTTTAAAAAGGAGACCTGGAAAAGGGGCTCTACCATTTTCTTGAGTGCCATATTGTTATCATAAACTATGTGAAGAATAGAAAGGAACTATACCCTAGAAAATAGCTAGAGCTCTGGTCATTAGTAACACAGCAACTGAATGAAACCCAAATGGTGTTTCATCATATCTGAAGAATGTTATGAATAACCGTTTAGACATTGCTGACAGTGAGGTTCCACCTTCATTGAAAGTGAGGAAAGCATTTCTCTTCCTGTGCGCTTCTAAGCTGGAACTGTCACAGTACCAAGTCTCTGGGGAATTTATGATGAGATCCCCGCATGCTTTTTACTAAGAAAGTTGTCATCAAACCCATCTTGTCTCTCACCTGTGTTTTTATTGACCCTCCTGATTAGCACCCCAACTGCTATCCTTTCCCTTACTTGACTGGCTCTGTTCTTAGCATGGAACCCTTAGAAATCCTTTCTTCTTTTTTGTTTTTGGTTGATTGGTTGGTTGTTTAGTTGGTTGTGTTTGTGTTTGTTTGTTTGTTTTTGGTTGATTGGTTGGTTAGCCTGGAACTCACTCTGTAGGCCAGGTGCGTCTTGAACTCATAATAGTCTTCCAATGTAGACCTTGCAGTGGCCTGCACTGCCTTGCCTAATTCACTAACTTTGCTGGCCTTATTTGCCCTCCTGACACTTGATCCACAGTGATCTTCTTGTTCTTTTTAAAATGTGGAAATCATCTCCATCTTGCAGAGTTTATTCAGGCTGCTCCCTCTGCATAATATGCTCCAGCATTCCAACAACACCCATATGACTCAGTCCATCACCTCATCAAACCTTCCCTAACCAGTCTACCTACCATTGCAGACCTATTTGTTTTATTCTCTGTTTAATCTTCCTTCTAACATAGTATATATTTTGTCTGTTAGATTTATTATTTTCTCTCTACTTCCTTGAGGCCATGACCTGGATTAGTTCCTGAAATACTGTGTTCAATAGGTATTTATTGTAGGAAAATATGGGGTTTCTTGCATCATTTTCATTGCTATGGGGCTCACACTCTTCACCATGCTCTTAACGGATAAAATCCCTGCAGTTCTGTCCACTGGAAAGGCTTTCACTTAGTGTAACCTACTTCAGATTCCTACAAGAGAATTATGCATTTGTAAGGATGGAAACCCTTAATATAGATAACTTAACTATGGGTGTCATTAATGGTGCTTAGAACTTAGGATGTTTCCCAGAGACCATGGATCCTACAGAGTAGCTAGTAGTGTACTTCTTATAAATAGTAGTCCTCCTCATACATGTGAATGTGTAAATTTATTGGACCAGATGGTACAGAAAATCCCAACAAACAAATGATTTCCCAGGGGACTTACTCTTTCTATTAAACAAAGATACAGCCATGATTTTAGATAACATAGTCTCCTTTGCAGGAAGTATGATTCTCCTGATTTGAATAGAAATATTTTTCTGTTCTCCTTTCGAATAGTCTCCAATCCTAGGCAAACCAGACCAGTGGATGACGTGGATGTTTCTTCTGCACACCCAGGTGTCATGGTTTTCTCCCTAAATGTGTCAACAAATTAAAATCAACATATGTGTTTGAGTTTCCATATGTAGGCCAACAGAAGTTAGAAACTCATTCCAGGAGCTTATCAAGTAAGCCTAAGCAGGACCAAATATCTGAAAGTATCCTGTTAGGTCCTCTTAAAGAGGTAACATAAAACAAAAAGTAGGAATGAATACTTTATTTTTTCATGCTTTTAATTATTTTAAGTGTGTGTGTGTGTGTGTGTGTGTGTGTGTGTGTGTGTGTGTCTGAGTGGGTGTGTCCCGCCATATAAGTGGAGATCAGAAGGCAACTAACATTCAAGAGTTGGTTCTCTCCACTGTTTGGGTTACAAAAATTAAGCCTTCTTGCTAGGACCCATATGTGGCCACATTTACTGGGTATACATACTCAGTAAATTAAAGACACATATTTTCTCCAAATAAAAATTGAAGTTTAATTGCTTTATTTCTAGAGTTAATAGACCTTTTAGCTGAGAGGATTTTTTCTGATTTGAGATGACCAGTTTATTATGATGAGGGTAAAATTTAAGTATTTTACTTACATATTTAGATCTGTGGATTTAGATATTTATTAGTAGTAGACTTAAATATCCCTCATGTTATTCAAAGTAGTATTGATTAAGTTTTAGAGGCTCATTTTACAGGCACATACCACCATGTTCTGCCTTTTTACATGGGTCCTGATGATCAAATTCAGGTCTTCATGCTTGTGCAGCAAGTTCTTTACCAACTGAGTCATCCTTCCAGCCTCGATACTGCATTATTCTTATCAGTAATTTCAAAGGCCTTCAAAGGAAGCAGTGGACACATGAGATTTAAAATGTGAAGCCAAGTCACTTTTACTGAGTTGTAACAGTAGCAAAACAAATTAAATTTAACAGAACCATCTCAAGACAAGTAGGCTGAAGGCTCACCAAACAAAGAATAAGGACTTAGGTTCTAAAATGGAGCCCAGATCATTCATGTTATTAGTGTTTTCTTCCTAATGGCAATTAACAAACCATTGAAGTTTTCATATTTTCATAATAAAAATTAAACATATTTTAAATGCACCCTCACTTTCTTACTCATGAAAAAATAGTGTAAAGAAAGTGCTCGCCATATCACCAAGTGTAATCCATACCACCAAGAAAAATGTTTCTGAAGATGATTGCCCCGCTCAAAGTAGGCCTAAGGTGTGTTTGTTTGATGAGTGAATAATTCTTCCATCAAAAACACAGTGTAATTTCAGATCCTCATCTTTACCCAAGGTTTAGGGACATCTGCTAAAGCCAGGAATGCATGTGAGAAACAGTCTTTTCCATGGGTCTGCTAGATAATGTTCACACATCCAATCTAGGCGTAGTAGTCTCTGTGTCTTTGTGAGTTTCTTTGTATTATAGACTAAGCAAATGTTTTGACTACAACATCCTAATTTTAAAGTATCCCTTTTTTTTTTATTCACTTAACATGCCTATAATGAGGACCCAAAATGTGTCAGACACTGTGCAAAGCAGTAGGAACTTACCTTTGAAATACATAAAGTGTCTACTGTGTGCCACATACATTCTAGATTCTGGGTAAAACTGAAAATTATACTGCCATTATCTTTGTATTTTTACAAACTACTGTCTGTATTTCTAAGAGTTTTTCTACTGGGAATAGAGGAAAGTAACCAAACCGGTAGCCTTTATTTCTTGTTTCTCCACAACCCCTGATGGAGTAGTTTTTGTTGTCTTAATTCTATAAAGTGATGGATAACTGTTCATAGTCATATTTTAAGGATCATTAGATTTGTAATGAAAAGGGGCTAGGCCCTAGCACTCACGATTTTCCCCCACTCCTCTTCCCTCCCTTACCCCTGCCTTTCCCCTTTTCTCCCTCTCCCGGCTCCTCACCCCTACTCCTCTGCATGTAGCGCCTCTCTAAGGACAGAAAGTCTGTTCACTTCAGAGAGTTCTCATTTTAGCTTACCACAGGAGGAGACATAACCGGAGGTCATTGAGAAGATAATATACTGTAAACCTATCAGGGGGTCTTGAAGATAATCTGAAACTTTCTAATTTACAAATAGAAGTCATTCAAAATATAGTTTGTAATATTTCAAAAAATGAAAATTTTTGAACTTTACAAGTCATAGTAAGAAAACCTAAAGTTAAAAAAAAAATAATGGAACTTTTCTATTTACATAAATTCTGTAATTTCAAATGCTAAATATACTGTAAATTATTGAGTCTTCTCTATTCAACAGGTCCCTCAAGAGCCCCACATAAGGAACTGCAGAGTGACCCTAGGCAGAAGGATGCTCAGTTTTAAACTGCTTGGATGAGAGTGCAGTGGCCGTTACATGTTTTCATTTCGGTTAATATTCAGAGATACATCTCTTACAAATGCTTCAGATGGAGGAAAGAACTCAAAGCTGGAGGGTGTGCTTCAGAATACAAGTGGTTACAGATGATATTGGGCAGGAGAGAAAGAGGAACATTAAATTTTTTTAAAAAATTTAAAAATAAAAAGTTAAGGTATCATTTCAAGCTGTTGACATTCTGGTGGAGTCAAGTCACCCAAAAACTGTAACCAGTGTCACAGATAAAGAAAGCCTCGTGTGTGCTTCTAACTAACCAACTATTGCTCTTTTATTTTTCTCACTTAACTGTTGAACTGTATTTAACTGTGGAACATGTTCATATAGTCTATGTTCTGGGTTAGGTTTAACCTTATCTGTGAGGGTGTGATTATACCAAAGGCTTCCTTCCATTGGTAGACTAGCCCATTCACCCAAATAAGTCAAGTCAACACTGTGCCCAGATGAATGGTATTAAAGACAGACTTGCCTAAAAGAAATGTGCCTTGCTTGATGAAACATTCTTTTATTTTTTTTGCTTCAAAATGATAGATTAACAAATTAGATTTTAGGTAGGTTTTAGTTTACCTTAATTTTACAAAAACTGTATTAGTACTTATTCTGCTTAAGTTGTCTGTGTTTACTAAAACTATATTTAGTTATATTTAGGCGGTTCATATATATCAAATTCTATTTTATTTTCACGGGATGTTTGGTATGGTGAGACAGAGTACATGATATCTCCCATCAACATCCTTAAAGATATATATAATATCTCATCTGATGTTTATAGCTTTTCCTTCAAAATTATATGTGTATAAGATTCTTTGACTCATTTTCTATTTTTTATATTCTTTTAGAATGAAACTCTTTTTCAATTAAAAAAGAGCAAATTTTTAGTTGGAAAAGAGACTTGGGAAGTCATAAAGATGGCATCCCATTTGGGAACATTTAACTTCTGTGCCATTATTGTATTTACTGTGACATCTCAGCAGAATGGTAGCTATTTGTATATTATTTCATAAGCCTTATGGAAAGTCAAACTGTGAACATTTAGTATATACACTATTAATTTCCATAGTTTGTCAAAATATGCCTGAACAAGTGCATAAAACTGAGTATTTTCAGAAGTTCAGTTACTATAAAAGTATATCAGTCTCAAAGACAAGATTATAAGTTTTCTGATTACCTAAAAAGTTCAAATGATGAATTTCATTAATCTGTAAGAATCTTAAATAAACAGCCATTTATCTAGTAGCTCCCAAATAGATAGAAATACAATCCAGGTAACTTTCTTTGAGGCAATGTCTACAATGAATTTTTAATATCTCCTGGTAATTTCTTCATGGTCAAAACATGGAGACCATATCACTACCGTTTTAGTGAAGATAAAGGGATAACAACTATCTTTGACTTGAGTGATGTGAGCCTCCAATAGATATGGTTGTGACTAAATGGAAATAAAGCCACCACCTTGGGTTTTGTTGTTGTTTTTCACTCATGTAGTAAAGATAATGGCACAGGGAATAGTGAGCCCTTTGCCATCATCTGAATCCTTATAACTGATGGTCACAGCCCTGTTGACAGTAAAGCAACCCTGGTGGATGAAAACAAACCAAGGGTTTTTTAATGTTCAGATGTTTTTGTAAGGATCAGCAGGTGTTGCAGAATTATACAAGAACTACCTTCATACAATGACACAACTTTAAGCAATGTAATATATGTAATAGTATATCTGTTTTATGATTATAGACCATAGTTCAAATAAAGACAAAACCTGGACTTTTACCCACCATACACCAAAGAAAAGCACAGAACCGTATCAGATGCATAACATACCAAAACATTGGCATGATGAGTGGTAAAAATAGCATGATCTTAGATAACAGGAGACTGGCATTCATACCCACTGCCTACCTCTGGGACCCCAGGTAAGTCATCACCATTGCTAGGCTTTAGTTTCTTGAATTGCAGAGTGGGCATGCTAGGCTCAGCAAACGCAAAAGCCCTTTCCAGCTACCAAATCCTGTTATACACATTCCTTTAAAATGCTTTGAAGAATACTTACACGCTAAGATTTTTGTGCATTTCTAAAAATGAATAAGATGAAATAAGATTTAAGCCTTGAAAGTGTCATGAATATATCTCATTCTTCACATTGTGAGAAGAAGAAATAGGATTCCTTCTCCTTTAATATTTCACTCATTTATAATAGGATCATGGAAAATTAGGTGGGGGTGGGGCATCCCTCTGCAGATGGGAAGCAGATTAATGAAATAGCTAACAAGATGGGGCATGTATTGGTAACATTAATTGAATGTTAATGTGATTTGCACAGAGTGCATGAAATGTTGAAATGGTCCCAGAACTTTGTTGCACATTATGAGTCTAATGGTAGCAAATGGATGTGAAAGGACTGGAGAACAGAAGTGTTTGCCCTATTATCTTTTTATTCTTTTTACACATAGGAGCTTAGGTAGGGATCTGCATTGCAGTGCCAATCTGCCAATCACTCGTTTGTCCCAAAAAAAGTCCCTTTAACTTCTCAGAACTCCAGTTTCTTAATCTGTAAAGTGGAGGGTTTAAATTTGAATTTAGTAATCTGCATATTTCTTTTCATCTTTTAATATTCTGCAGCATTTCAGATTCTTAAAATATATGCATACATGCATACATATTGTTGATCCCTCCATCAGTCACTATGATGCTACATAGTTCTCAAGTACCTGAATAGATTATGAGCCCAATCATGTATATTCCTAATACTGCTATTTGACCTTGACAAGACCTAAAATACTTAGACCTCATTCAGATATGGCTGAATTATTAAAATTTGTCATTTCGTCTTTTAATGTTGAGTTCATTACCTAAACAAATATCTTCTCAAATTACTCTCCATAACTTGTTGTAATTTAATAATCAAATATATTGGCATACCAATGAACTATAGCTGACTGTAAGATATAATTTTGTCACATTAAATGACCTTTTGGTCCTAGAAGCTATAAATATAGTATAAAATGACATCTATAAAATTTTGTGAATTTTTTAATACAAAGGAGGCCTGATGGAGCCATACTGTAATTAGTTTTGCTCAGGAGAGAGAAAAACATTCAGGGATAACCAAACACTTCTGTTTGGCATTAGTGAACAATTGGTGAAAGAAGGGTTATAACTTTTGCACAACAAAGATAACAGGTGATGATACCCATTAAAAATGGGAGTATTTTCTGGTGGCTGGCTTTAGTATAGGAAGAGATAGGTTAGAAGAATGCCAGAATCAGACACTAGAAAAGTTAATAAAATGGTATCAGTTCATCGAATAACAGAACTATTTTGTCATACTGAGATTATTGGCCCAGAAAGTTAGTCTTATATCCCTTCCATTCAGAAAAGGGGCAGGTTTCAAATGCCTCTGTCATAATAGGAAATGTATATTTTGACTAGTGGAGCAATTAGCTAAAGCATTTAACCTGATAACTTTAGTTTTGTGGATCTGAATTTTCGTCTTAGGTGTAATTTAACCTCTTGCATATGTGATAATGTCTGTGATCGTGAGGAATGATTTCAACACTTTTGTTTTCCTTTTAAGTTAATAAAATGTGTTAAGTGGTGATTTCAGAATACTGTGTTAATACTGTATCCTACAACCACTTGTGAACTGACCACGTTAAACAAACCATGGTGTTTCTCTTCTAGTAAATTGTTTCTATGGTGTGATTATTTCATGCTGGGGGGGTGGGGTGGGGAAGTTAAATATTTAGTTTACTTAAAAAAAAAAGTCAAGGTGTTTTTCTTAAATGCCATAAAATTGTGTGACAATAAACCAAATAGAATATCCTCTTTTTCAGATGTGAGAGAACTGTATAGACTACTTTGGGGACTAGCCCATTAATGCTGTCATTTGTGTTTTTTAAAAGCTTATATATTATATATGTAGCATACAATATATACCACATACAAAGGAAAGCAAACCGTGTATGTAGTGTTTCTTGGAGTCTATATGTGTTTGTTTACATAGAATACTTATGCATTGCAAAGACCTTCAACATAGTCTATTTAATTTCTAAAACACTGCCCACATGAATTACTAATTCCATCTGGAGTTTAGAGATAGAACAGTTAAAGTCTTAAAGAATAAAATGGCTTATCATAGATCATGTGCTTGTATGTGGCTCTAAACGTCATTATCTATACACTTTCCGTGCTGGCATGTTGTGTGTTCTCTATCACTGCCATTCCATTTCAAACTGAAACTTCAAAAGATGTGTTGAGATTTTTTTAGTGAAAAGGAGTCATTGGGATTGTGTTAGATTGTCTTAGATAATTTCCAAACTGCATCTACGTACATGAAACACCCAAAGATTTTAATATTTTAAAGTTAAGTCTCTGCACCAGTTCATTCATTCATTTAATGGCATCATGCAAAACTTCAAAAATGTTCTTTATCTATCTTTCACTTGCTTTTTTAAAAGCCCATCTTAACAACTAATTTCAGAACATTTTTTAAAGCAACTAGAGAAATTGCACCCATTCTGATTCAATGACATAGCCATCATTTTTTTAGCTTTTTGTTTTTGTATGAATGGGAGGGAAGAGTTTAAAGAAACTCTTCATTTCCAGTAACTATATGGAAATACTGGGTTATTATGTCATAGGTAGCAATTTGTTAACATTAGCCATAGGTCAAATCCTGGTAAGCTTTTCACTCATTTAATAGTGTACTTAAGGATTTCCCCAAGTTACGTTACAACTCAGTGAATTCTCAGTTTGAATATGAAGAACAGTCATGTTGCAATCCATGACAGATACTACATTTTTGTTCTCAAACATCAGGTAGCCACTGCTTTCCCTTGTAAATCAATAGTATGTGATATGTTTTGTACTTATCTGTGCAATGCAGTGTTAACTGTGAATATTTAAGTGAAACGTGCTTATTATACTGGCATTTAATATTTCCTAACATTGACTTCAATTTTCCCCATCAAATAGTTAAGTCAATCAAGTATTATTTTGTATAAAATGAAGCAACAATTATTCTTAATAACAATGGTGTTCTAACTACAATGTCAAATCAAACATGCATTTTATATTTTTATATTCTTTTTTCTTTTGACATTGAGTTAGGTCAATTTACCATGTAGTAATGTAAAGTTAGATTCTTATACCATGTTCTCTGCTTAATGTGAGGCCTTTTGTTAAGTAAATACCTATGAGTTTTGATTGTGTGATATTTTCCTGTGATGATTGTTTTTTAATTTGTCATTGGACTTGAAGTGTTTATTGCAAATGTTAAAAATAGAATTCAATAAAACACCGGAAACGTCCTGTTGCAGTAATAATTACAAATGATTATCTGTTTCCTTTCTTTTTTCTGATAGTACATTAATTTATTTTAGTTTGACTGAAATTCTGGCCTAGTCAGAACTTGGGAAAAGTCAAGTCAATTTTGTTGCCAATTTTGTATTAAAAGATGATTAATGATTTTTATTTTATTTTT